GTGTCCCTCAGCCAGGCCGATCCTTTCCCGGGCTGGCGCCTCGCCTCTGAGGGTGCCATCTTGGCTCCTAGTGCGCATGCTTCCTAGGAAGCGCGCGGGCCGCCTCGGCTCTACGGGGCATGCGCNGGCTTTCTCAGTGCGTCCTCGTCCGCGCTTTGCGGGAAGCGGCGGCTGGCTGGGGAGCGTGCGGGGCTGTGGCCTCCCGGGACGCAGGCCCAGCGCTGCACTCAGCCCCCAGTTTATCAGGCTGCTTCTGAATGTCCCAGTCTCTTCGCTCCCTTCCTGTATTAATATCTAGCTACCTATGCTGGCATATTTATCTCAGATTCAGCTGCAGTGCAAAGTATAATTATACCAGTCTGTCATTTGATTGTAAGTAAAACCATTGTAGACTGTCTAAAATATTACCTGTAGTTGTTTTAAAAATAGCAAGATTGTTATAATCCAGGAATATCATTAAATACATGCTGAAAAAGCACTTTATTATGTTGCTGTCATGCTATTTATGTTACTTTTTCTTAAAGTAAGATATCAAATACTGAACAGTATTATTCCGGGTACATCTCCTAATTTGGAAAAAATGAAGATTTTGTAGGAGGAGCCTGTAATAACAGGTTTTTCCTAGAAATCCTGTCCCCCCCCACCACCAAAAAAAATGGTTAAAGACATACATATCCATTGTAGAAAACATATTTTCAAAAGTATAGATATATATAGAGAGAAGAGATTAAAACTACCTCTAATCCTACTTCCCCCAGAGAAATACTATTAAGACTTTCATATATTTCCTTCCTTTGAATATTGTTATAGAAATAAAGATCATATTTTATACTCAGTTTGCATCTTGCTTTTATCTTCTTATTACAGTAAAAGCATCTTTCCAAATCATTAAAATTGTTTAAGAACATTTTTATGACTAATTCTTGGATGTACAATGCTTCTCATATTATATAGATTATTTCCTGTTTTTTATTATGTAAATAATGCTGGGAAGAAAACCTTTGTATTAAATCTTTGTCACCATTCCTAGGTTTCTTAATTATAGATCCTAGCTGGGAATATAACAGATCCCAGAAATGAAAAGATAACATTTTAAAGACCTCTGAACATGTTAATAGATTACTTTCCTGAAAAGTAGATCATCCTTATTAACATTTATTAGTTTAATTTTAAAAAGAGGAAGAAATAATTAGTGTATCATTTCTAATTTGTTTTTGTAATCAAGAAAATTGAATTTTTTCTAACATCAATTAGCCACCTGTAATTATTCATTTCTGAAAAACTTCATTTTCATGTCCCATTTATTGATGAATCTTTGTGTCTTTTCTTATTAATTTTTGGGAGATTTCATGTACTGAATTCAACCCTGTTTCTGTCATATTACCCCATTTATTTGCCTTTTAATTTGATTTATACACTTTGCAAAATGCAGATCCTTCAAAATGTTTTTTAAAAACCTTCATTTTCATTCATTGTCTTTAAACTTATAACTTCCTTTACCGTGCAGATTCCCCTACATTTTATATCTTTACCCCATTCACCTGTGGTTGTCACTCACTCAAGTTCTCAAAGGCTTCTCATTGTCTCATATACGAACACACAACTGGATATTCACAGAATGGCTCTTCCTGGCCCCAGTGTTTGCTGCACCCAAACTTGCTGCTTCTTTCAACAGGGTTTCCTAAGCGCCAGGGTCCTACGGCTTCTGCGGTGAACAAAGCAGATACCAATCTCCACTCTTGTGGAGTTTCATCACATTCCTGTAGCAGCAAGGCTGGTGCATCACCCTTTCCCTAGTGCCTGGCTTTTTTCATCACCATGACTTTGCTCCATGTGCCACTGCTTGGGTGCCATCCCCTTCTCTCCACCAATCCAGTTATGATATGTCATTCAAGGACCTGCTCTCCCAAGAAGTTCTTCCTGAGTAGCCACCCACCTGATAGTCCCCTCAGCTTGCTGGGTCTTGGACTCATGTATTTTTCTCTCAACCTGAGCTCCTTAGTAATTGCTTTCACCTTTGCGATTAACAGCTCCATTATGATGTGTCCCTAGGTGCCACTTTACAAAAGTAATTAAAATTTTTTTCATCCAATATTTTCCCATCTAATTCTAAGTCATGTAAAGTGTATTTTGGTTTATAGTGTTGGGTTAGAAACAAAACTGATTTTTAAAAAAATGTTAATCCATTGTTAGAGCACCAGTAAAATATTCTCTTGCCTATTGACTTGTAATGGTTTTTATTGTATACTAAATTCTGAGATACTGGGCTGATTGCCTACTTTCTGTTCTCTTTCACTAATGTATTTTGCATTGGAACAACATTATAGATTAGCTTTATCATATTCTAGTTGATATTCAGGACTGCTTACCCCTCTCTATGGAGTGAGGTACATCGTTTACCTTACATCTCATGCTATGAGTATTCCTAGTTAGTTAATGTTTCTTATTGTTATTGTGAATGTAATTTTTTTCTATTCTATTTTCTGACTTGTTTTTACTGGCATATTAGAAGGGTTTTAAAAATATATATATGTTTTTATTGATTTCAGAGAGAGGAAGGAAGAGGGAGAGAGTTAGAAACATCAATGATGAGAGAGAATCATTGATTGGCTGGTTCCTGCACGCCCCCTACTGGGGATCAAGCGAGCAACCCAGGCAGGTGCCCTGACTGGGAATTGAACTGTGACCTCCTGATTCATGGGTTGATGCTCAAACACTGAGCTCCACCAGCCAGGCTGGAAGGGTATTTTAAAAATATATTTATGTGAAATCTGAGCTCTTTATTCTCAATAATTATAAGTTTATATAGTTGGTGGATAACTAATCAAACTATCTGCAAATAATGAAAATTTACTTCTCCTTCCCAAGTGTTATGTCTGAATTGGCCAGAAATTCCAGAGCAATATTAATAATAGTGGGTGTTCTTATCACAGAAAAAAATGAATCATGGTTAAGAAAAACTATGGTCAGTTTTCTATTGAGAATAAAGTCAGTTAAATCCTTGTAATCATCCTAGATTACATGAATTGCTTTGCAGATATACCATGGGTAAGGTGCATCAAGAGCCTGGATGATGTTCATTTCTCCAGAAGGGGCCACATCTGATTAACATTAATGGCTAACTTCAAGGGGAGAGGAACTAGACCTCAGACCTAGATTACAGTTGGGAGGAGGAAGGCTAGAGGCAAGCTACGGGAGTTAGTCCCTAGATTCCCCCACTGCATTTCCTTGCGAGCGATTCCTGGCGTGGTGACAAGTGGAGCCAGTCTGTGTCCAGGAAGACTATAAGAGAGAGCTAGAAGCCAGCGTCCCTGCAGTTCCCTTAAAGTGAGGAGGGTGGATGGCAAAGAACATTGGTGAAATTTACCTCTAGGAGACAGTATAGCAGTATTTTTCCTGGACGTCTTTATCAGAGGCTGGCTGTAAATACTGTTCAGATGCCACAGGTGGTGGTTGAAGTTCTTTGTGAAATTTAGCTCAGATGAGGTATGGGGCTGGATTTATCATTCTAGTAGGTTCAGAGGGGATTATCTTGAGAGACCTCCCCGACCTGAACAGCATTCATGGTGGACAGGGCGTTGGTTAGCTGTCCTTCGCACTGTTCCTATTTATTACCATTGTTGCAGAAACCTGATGCTACAAAAATATTTTTGGAGATTTGTTAGTGGGTTTAGTGGACATTAGATAACTATCAGATAATAGCATAGGTAATAAACAAGTAACTATAGAAGGTGGCATTGAGTACCTGTTACTGGCATGGCCCTACTGATGAATTCTGGTTGATTGGACCTGACATGTTTTATTTTTATTTTTGAGCTCCCCTTCTTCTCTGCCTCCCTCCCCTCCTTCCTTCCCTTCTTCCTTTTTTCTTTTTGTAATGTGATTAGTTGAGATTGAGTGAAGTTGAGCATTAGGTGTCCAGGTACGTAAGAGAAAACCAAACTCTAAGATGTGGATCCATCTAAGAGATTCATGAACCTTTCTTGGATCTAGTTTACATAATGACTGAAGCAAAGTTCAGATTACACCTTCTCTTTAAAATATGATTCTCATCATAACTATCCTTACAATCTTAGCTAGTAATTCAGGAAGTGGAACTCACAAAGAGATCACAGTCACAGACCTCCAGTTCTAGGGCCATAGTGTAGCTGTTGAAATGACAAGTAAGTGGGGGAAGACTGGTTTGCCTTTCCTTGCTGGGCAAGGAAGCATACAGGACACTTGGCTGAGTGTTGAGGAGTAGGGAACGGAGAAGGGAATGTAAAATGGACTCAGGCGGAATTTGACCCCTGGAAGTTAACAGGGAGAAAGCAATAAAGATAACTATAATAGTAGATAGGAGTAAAAGTAGAAGGAGCTACAGATTCAAAGAAAAGAATCTACCAGCTGGGAAAATTTGGAGGAGTTGGCGTTTGAGTTAGTGAGTTTGGAATAGGCATAGTGGAGTAAGGAGCATTCTACCTCAAAGGAGTAACGTGACCAAAGGCACTGGCCCCCAAACAAGTTTTGTTGAATATCAGAATTAATGGAATTGGGTAGCTTTTGTTTGGGTGCATTACAGTTTTTCCACTGATTTACTTAGTGTACGGTACGAGTGTCTCCTGTGAGCCAGGCACTGTGCAGGTAGGTGCTGGGAATGTAACAGGATGACCGTCAGCGCTACGGTTTGTGGAGAGACATAAAACCAACCAACTAATGAACATGTGAATTCAAAGTGAGGACTGTTAGCCTACTACTGGGTAACTCGCGTGAAGGGAGATGGTTGGGCAGGGTAGCCAGGGAAGGCCCCTTTGAGGGAACTGATGTTTGTAACAGCCACTTAGAGATATTTACCGTTTGAGGTCTTTACCATTGCTACCATCCTAAGATGTTTAATTTGACTACATTACTCTGCCTTAAAAATCCACTTGTGAAATTTCTATTTTCTGTCAGTATTTTCTTAATCCATTGCTGAACTACTGACCTCTTGTTAAATTTACCGTGTCACCCTTGTTTTGCAGAAACCAAAGCCGAAAGATTGGCATCCTCCCGGGGGCTTTATTCTGGGACTGTGGGCTCTCATTATCATGGTTTTCTTCAAAACTTACGGAATCAAGCATATGAAGTTCATCTTCTAGACGTGATGATGTATAAAGACGACTGCATGGACGACTGCACCCTTGGATAAAAACTTACATCATATCTTCTAAAAAATACATTGCTCTTGTGCGAATTGGCAAAAAGTATAAGGAAATTATAAATTTGGTGAACTATTGTCTTTTAACTGAAAGAAAAATAATTGTTATTGCAAGTGCTAAATGGCACTAAATATATTTTTTGGTTTTTTCTTTGGTTTCTTATTAGAAAGATGGGACAAAGAGATCAGAATATACTTATTGGCTGTTATTAGAAAATAAGAATTTCCCGTTAGCCCCTTTTCATTTGGAAAAGAAAAAAATGTGAAGACATGAAATTCTCCCCAGTAGAGGTAACTTCTGATAGTATTTTTGTGTATGTTCCCCCATTCTTTTTCTTCTATGTACTTTTTTCCCTCTAACATAGAGATTATATAGAACATACCATTTTGTAACCTCACTTTTCATTTTGCAATATGTTATCAACTCTTCCCTCTTCTTGGATGTTCTGCAAGAACACATTGGGAGTGGCTGCGGAGTACCCATTTTATGAATGTTCTGTAATTTATTTAGCATTGTTTTATTGGACCACTCACCTTGTTCCCAAGATTTTCCTTTGGTTCATTCTTTAATGTGTGAATATTTTACTGTCAGTCACTAATGGAATTCTTTAGCTTTCATTGTAAGTAAATATGATACTGACAATCTTCAGGACCTTATTTGTTGTCAGTTTATCTGGAAAACTTATGACCTTTGGGAATTTCACATTGACTGCTCAAGAGAAACAAGCCCTATCATTTTATATTTCTAAGCATTCATTCATTCTGTGATCCTCTAGCTGGTCACTTTTGCTTCAGTTTCCCTATTGAAAGAGACATTGTTTCATCCTGTTTAAAGTAAACCTTGCCCACTGGCTGGATCTGCAGTGTTCCTGAGACAGCCCCATCGAGTGGGTGGACTGTGTGGAAGAATCAGCTCACAGCCCTGCCTTTACGTCCGACTGACGCATCCCATAAGGCAGTGAATAAGCCCCTTTTCTGATCTCTGACAAGATGCAAGAGCTCTTTATCTCCCTCACCAACCAGCCAGCTTCGTACCTTCTAATAACTGGAGGGAGTGTTCAGAGTGTGCTTTGCTGTCAGCCCCAGATATTGTTTCTTCATAGATAAGGGGGAATAAGCCCTGAAAGTTGCATATTCATGTCCCATGGGATACCTTTTTGGATTTTATGATTTATCTAAGAATTTATGTGTAAATCTTTATTCATTGCAGGGCCTGTTGTATGATTTGTAGGTATCATTAAGAAGACAGCGCTTCCTCCACAATAAAGCCTCCTAAAATTAATATTCCTTAGGATTTGTTTTCCTTTTAGCACTTAATTATTACCCTTTAATTATATGCGAATGGTCATACTTTTTACAAGCAGAGGATTAACTGTTATCTCCCAGGTTAGAACAGGTGATATTGAGGCTTTCTGCCAGCTCTGAGGTTTTCATTTTAATTCATCTTTGGTACACTAGAAAGATGAAGAAGGAGAATTTTTACCTTATTATGTGGAAAAGGATCCTTCTGCGTGTAGGAGGAGGGGCGGGGGAACAAACTTAAATTCTAATAGCTGGTTATAGTAGTGCTAAGAGACAGAAAGGTTCACCATTTCACCCTCTAAATACCCAAAGGCCGTGAACACTATGGTGTCCTAAGGGGTGGAACTACTTACAGTAGCAAAGGAAATGTGACTGCTTTTGAACCAAAGTAATTTTTTTTTAATGTATCTTTATTGATTTCAGAGAGAGGAAGAGAGAGAGAGATAAAAACATCAATGATGAATCATTGATCAGCTGCCTCCTGCATTCCCCCTGCTGGGGATGGAGCCCACAACCTGGACATGTCCCCTGACCGGGAATCAAACTGCGATCTCCTGGATCATAGGTGATGCTCAACCCCTGAGCCATGCCGGCCGGGCCAGAGTAATTTAGTTTCAATATAATGAAACATACCCTGAGTGTAAAGACTGCTGGAATGTGAAAGGATTCCTCCTCAGAGGTTGTGCAAGGTGCCCTTCTCAGGTAAACGAAACGGGGACAGGTAGTTAGATGTAATACACAGGATTAATTCCGCCCAGGCGGAGTTTCAAAGGGCAGGTATATCTCCTTCTATTACACTATTGAATTTTCAGAATATAGTTAAAGTAAAAGGCTTAAAATATGTTAAGCGTTTAGCTCATAACCGTAATCTTTTTACATAAAGTATATTCTGCCTTCAATAATAAGCACATACTCTGCATATGGTAAGTGGGTAATATTGTGAGTGCAATTAAATGGTCCAGACTTTAAATGACCACATAAAAGCACATCCTTAAATATATTCTACTTGAATCACAAAGAGCTGAACAGCCAAAATGTGTTTTCTTTTTGTCTCTTTGTTGTGAGGATCAGATGAGAAGACGTTGTAACTGACCACTTTGGAAACTGTAAATACATGGTGGTAGTATTTTTCTCATTTTTGCTTAGGAAGGTGCTAAGGGGGAAGGTCATGGTGCCGGTGCCCCTCTTCGGTTGCACTGATTTACCTGTCTAAGGTCCTCACTGTGATTCTTGTCTCTTTGGTGTCTTTTTCCCTCCCTGTGGTGTCCTTCAGGGAGGAAGGGAATGTAGAGAAATGGGTCTCGGCAGACACTTCCTGACCTCTGCGGGGAGGGACAGGGTGTATTGGTGCCATTCTAGAGGCAGCCTGTATGAATAAAAGAAACCAAGTGATGTGGATTTGAAAATTATGAAAGACATTCATTTGCACTTTATGAAAGGCAAATGCAGTTTGGATGCAAAGCTGATTAAATTGGATCAAGAAAAATTTGAATTAAGTACATAAAATAATGCATGCATTTATGGTTTCAATTTTTATATATCCCCGCTAGTTGGAAATGATGACTCCCACAACAAGCATAACTCAGCTTGTTTCTGCTTACTGGGTATTTTGTACTGTGGTATACGTGGGTAACATTTCTTCCATTGTGTATGTTGTATCGCAGTTACAGTTACTGTGAGAATCGTAATTTGAATTTTTGACTTATGTGTTTCTGGAATCTTTACAACAAATGTTGCATTAACATAGAACTTTTTTCATTGATTTTACTAAAATTAAATCCATCTGTAACAGATACTGTTTTAACTTGTGAAAGAAATATTTTATAAACATACCACAAGGTATGGCTATAATGAGATCGGCAGCCAATTTTGCTTTATGGAATCAGCCTTACTTATTACTTCAGTGTCACGTCTCCTGCCCCAGGGCATTTATCACAGACAGTGTCTCTGGCATCGTGTTCTGCAGCCACCTGCCCTACCTGCGTGTGTAGCTGCTGTGTAAATATAAAGAGTCAATTCATGGACAGCATAGCTTGGTTGTAACCAGCCTTTTTTTTTCTCCCCCTTTCAATGCAAAATTTTTACTCTTTTGGAAATGTGCTTTGAAATATTTGGCTTAACTGAACTGTGTAGACTTTTGAATAATGGGATTGGTAACAGATGAAGGTGTGACTAAGAAACCAGTTATTAAAAATGCGGTTACTTCAGACATGGAAAGGTGGTCACTGTCGTTCTTGTTTTGCCGCCTGGTTTGCTCACAGCCTCAGAGACTTCAGAGGACTTTCAGGTTTGCCCGAGGAATGCCCACTCATGGGTTCTGCTGGGTGGGCTCCTGGGGTATGACCCACGTTCTGTGCTAGAGTTTCAGGGACAGCTGGCAAGAACCATGTAGAATACTTCCTTAGGGGTCATTAAATAAGGTCATAAGTGTAAAGCACGAGGTACAGTGCCTGGCACGTAGGGAAAGTGCAGCCTTTTGTTCTTTGCTGGGCAGAACAACTCCTAGCTCCTGTTTTCAACCTCCACTTGGGCCCAGGGGTCGCCCTTGAAAGAACAGTAGCCTGGGTGCTCCTAGGATGTCCTGTTCCCTTCTGTTTTTAGCAGAAGTCTTTTTGGGGTAACAGTTTCTTTTCACTTTCAACACTATCTGGTTTCAACCCACAGACCCACCCATTTGGTCATAGAGATTGTTATAAATCATCCCTTCTGGGATATTGCCTCTCTGGTCCTGCAAGCTCTATTTGCATAGACGTGCTTCCCCTTTCATTTTATAAAATGCTCAACCTCTCATCTTAAAAACTTAAAATCCTTATGTCCCCTTTCAAATGCCGATGTAGAAATGCTGTATAGAGCCTTTTTTACTTCACTTTGTGGTCTGTTATTTGGATGAAGGGGCAGCGTTCTCTGACTTGGCCTCCCTGCCTTGTATTCATTCATCAACCTTTCTGTGAATCTAGCTTCTTCCACCACTCGCTTGATACCAGTGATCTAACGGCCAAATCTGATGGAGCTTTTCTGCCTGCATTGTACCTCTCTCTCCTTAACATGTAACAATTGTTGGTCACTGTAAGAAACGTTTCCTTCTCTGCCTTCATGGCCTTGCTCCCATCCCGGGTTCCCTTCCCTTAGACTCTCCTTTCCAGTCTTCTCCACGGCTTCTCTTTGACAGCCCACTCCCGATGTCCTGCACAGTCCTGTCCTAAACTCTTCAGTTTCAACTCCCCATCTTGTGGTTTCCGCTATTACCTCTACCTCACTTGCAGCCAAATTTCTGTATCTTAGTATGTCTCTTGAGTTCCATAAGGGCCCCTTTGTGCTCGAAAGGCCCACAGAGACCTCACTCAGCATACCCCAAGCTGAACTTAACCAGCATTCATTATCACCTCATTACCCAGGTCTGCCTTCTCTAGTTCCTTTTTCTTATTTCATGTTCTGAATCCCCTCTGATGGGCACAGACTGTGCAGATATCTGCACCGTGTAAGTGCTCAACATAGCATTCTGCAGATGACGCTCTTAATAATGAGGTGGGGAAAATGACGTACTCTGTGGAGGCCAGTTGGCTTCTCCCAGCCACCCAGTGCTTGCTCGATGGGTCCGTGAAAAACAGTGGATGAGGACTATGTGTGGGCTCAGCAGCTTGGATTTCTCCTTCTGAAGATTGATCTGGCTACTGCTACTGCTGAACGCCTAGTTTAGCACCAGCAGAGACCTACATTAAAACTCAGCCCCTAACCAGTTGTTGCCTCCATTCCCCAGGGGGCCAGCCTGCTGATCGGTAGTAGGTTGATTACATTGGCCGTCACAGAGAGGGCAGAAATGTGTTTGTGCTGAAACAGACATATTCTGAGTTTGGATTTGTATTCCCTGCTCCTTAAACTTCTGCTGGCATCCCCCACTATGAGCTCACAGAGACCCATACCTGCCTTCATGGCACTCTGCAGAGTGCTGAGTCTGATTAAGAAACTCATTTCACAGCAAGGGAAGTGCAGCAGTGAGCGTGTGCCCATGGAATCAATCACATTTGCCACGTACCCCAAAACCTGGCAGTGGCTGGCCCGACTCAACATGAAATGGCTCACTAGGTGATTTCCATCTTCTGGCCAGGCTGTGATCGATACAGAGGCAAGATGGTATTGAATAGTAAGATTCTCCACCACAGTCATAGAAATTGTGCAGATTATGCCTCTGGGTTCAAGGGAAAGGTCCTCTTCCCTGCCAGAGACAGGAACAAAGCATTGGAGCCCCTTCTCACCGCCTTCCCCTCATTCTGAGGCCTTCCCTGAGGGACCTGCACCGAAGGTTGAGAGACGGAGGGAGCACCTCCTTCCAACAGCCTGGTGTCCAAGCTGGCCCAGGTGGCACACGCACCTGGAAGCCGCCCCCCCATTGTCCTGTCCACTCTGTTTTAAAAACCCTGGATTCTTCTAGCTTTAGGCGGCTTTCCTTGCTCCTTGTAATGAGTACAAGGAAGGATTCAGGCAATGAGATTTGTTGTAACCCTGCCAAGAATGGAGATGGATCCAAAGAGAAAAAAACCACACCCATGTTCAAGGCAGACTGTAAATATTCCTGTTTGGTTGGTTACGAAGTGCGTACAGATTAAGAAGGCTGAATGGCACAGTGATTAAGAGCCTGAGCTTCGCATTTCTGTTGCTTGTCAGCTTGATAAATGCACATTATACAAGGAAAAGAATAATTAAAGTTACAAGTAAGAAAATACACTTACAAACCAATAAAACCAAAGGCTGGGGAGAAAAATTAAGGCTGAAGTAAGAGAAACCAAACAAAATGAATAAAAATAATAAATCAAACAGGTTAAAAAGTAAAACCAGAAGCTCAGGAATTATAAAGTACAACTAATGCGGCAGAAGAAATAAAATTTTAGGTGTTAAAATCAGAAGCGTAGAATTTCTTCAAGTGTGTAGCTGTGAATAAAGCTAAAGCAGAGAAAGGGAACAAAAGTGTTTGAAAGTAAAAGCAATGAAAGGAAGAATTAAATGGAATATAAAAAGTAAGCCAGGTAGCCAAAACAATTTATTTTAAACAAAGATGAAAAATAAAGCTAAAACTAGTCAGAGGAATATAATGTCCTCTAAATGCTAAACATTTAGAGATGAAACAAACTG